ACTCCTGGTGAAGGTGATTCCGGATGGCCCATTGCTCTCAGAAAAGGTACTCGTTCCACTCGAAACCCACATCCTATTTATAATTTTCTTAGCTATCACAGATTGTCGCCTTCCTATTATTCCCTTTTATCCTCAGTATCTTCTATTGCTATCCCAAGATATGTGGAAGAAGCAATTGATCACCCTAGATGACGACAAACCATGATTGCAAAAATACATGCTCTTGACCATAATGCTACTTGGGAGCTTGTGCCCCTTCCACCGGACAAAAAGGCAGTTGGTTGCTGCTGGGTGTATGCTGTTAAAATTGGCCCTGATGGTAAAGTTGATCGGCTCAAGGCTCGATTAGTTGCAAAAGGGTACACTCAGGTTTATGGCCTTGATTATTGTGACACTTTCTCTCCCATGGCCAAGATGACTATTATTCGTCTGTTCTTCGCAATGGCTGCCATTCGTCACTGGCCACTTCATCAATTAGATATCAAAAATGTCTTCCTACATGGTGATCGTGAGGACGAAGTTTACATGGAGCAACCTCCTGGGTTTGTTGCTCAGGGGGAGTCTGGACTGGTATGCAAATTACATCGTTCTCTATATGGCCTCAAGCAATCACCACGTGCTTGGTTTGGAAAATTTAGCTCCATTGTTCAAAAATTTGGGCTAAGACGCAGTGAAGCAGATCATTCAGTCTTTTACTGTCATACATCTCTGGGTAAATGTGTTTACTTAATAGTATATGTTGATGATATAGTCATTACAGGAAATGATACTGTTGGAATATCTCAACTGAAGGAGTACTTGTGCAAACATTTTCAAACCAAGGATTTGGGAAGCCTAAAATACTTTTTGGGCATTGAAGTAGCTCAATCAAAAGATGGAGTTGTAATCTCTCAGAGAAAATATGCTCTTGATATATTACAAGAAACATGTATGATTGACTGTAGACCTGTAGAGAGTCCTATGGACCCAAATAAGAAATTAACAACAGAAGAAGGTGAAGTATTCTTTGATCCAGAGAGATATAGGAGGCTGGTTGGAAAACTGATTTATCTCACTATTACAAGGTCTGATCTATCTTTTGCAGTTGGAGTGGTTAGTCAGTTCATGCAGGTTCCATGTGTTGGCCATTGGAATGCTATCATTCACATTCAAAGGTACCTCAAAAAGGCTCCCGGGCAAGGATTGTTATATGAAGATAGAGGAAGCATTCAGGTCACTGGGTACTGTGATGCAGATTGGGCAGGTTCACTTGTTGACAGACGGTCTACTACTAGATATTGTGTATTCCTCGGAGGAAACATTATTTCATGGAAAAGTAAGAAACAGAATATAGTGGCTCGATTGACAACTAAAGCTGAATATAGGGCAATGGCATCACTAACTTGTGAACTTATATGGGTGAAGCAATTCATTCAAGAGCTTAACTTCTGTGATATTCAGACTATGAAGATGTATTGCGATAATCATGCTGCTCTCCACATTGCATCAAATCCCGTATTTCATGAGAGAACTAAACATATAGAAATTGATTGTCACTTTGTTCGTGAAAAGTTGTTGACAAAAGAAATATGTACCGAGTTTGTTGGATCAAATGACCAATTCGTAGATGTGTTTACCAAGTCCTTAAGGGAACCTCGGATTGAGTTCATTTGTTCCAATCTGTGTACATACAATTTTATGCTCCAGTTTGAGGGGAAGTGTTGGAATAGATTAGAAAATATATGTAATCATTATACCTAAAGTAGGGGGTTGAGTGTTAGATAAACTCTGCACCTAGTTCTGAGGAGTAGTCTAGGACTGGGGCATTTAATGTAATCTCCCTATTGTATTAGTTTTTATCTATATAAATAGAGAACCATGAGAGGGGTTCTTCAAGCCCTCTAAAAATACTTTTTCTCTTTTTTGAATATCAAGTTCTGACAAAGACAATCCTTGCGGTGGTGTCATTGGTCCAAACGGTGGCCACAGTGGCGGTAATTGTTGTTGTGGCACGGGGAGGGAGCGCAAGAGGGAAAAAAATTGGAAAAAATAGAATATTAATACTTGTGAAGAGTGGGTTCACTAGTGAGGCAAAAATCAACCCTACCTCTGGATATCATGTTGAAATAAAAGAGGAACAGGCAAAATCCCTAATTTGTATTAAACATATAAGCTTATCTCATTATATATAAGATAAATACAAAGATTAAGGAAATAAACAATGATGTTGACCTAAGCCCTATATATTTAACAAATTTGATTACATTAAATAAAAAGATACGATATTATTAGATGAGGAATATCTTACCAAATATTTCTTTTTATTAGATATTGATTTTTTTTTATTATTATTTTATCTCTTCTTTATAAATAAGAATAGTCATGTGTACCCACCATGATACTTGAGTGATACGAACCCAAGTTTGTGTTGGTCATTTTAAAGGGGGCTAACAACTGGGAGATTCTCAACAATGGGACATGAGTCAACCACATAAAAAAATATGACATCACTTTCAACCCAAAACTTTAAGGCATTCGGTTATGAGTCTTTCTTACTTATAAGTTACTCAACTTTCTTATTCCTAGCCAATGTGAAACTTCAAACTTATACTTGAATTTTCAACAATCGCTCCCTCAAGTGTGATTCCCTTTCGCATCGGTACACCACCCCCTCGAGCAGAAGCATTAAACATTTTTTAACTATGAATACCCAGTAGTGACCTTACTTGTACCGTTGCAGAGTACCCAATAATGACCTTACTTGTACCACTGCAGGACTTGCTTACCTGAAACCTTTGTCAAGAAGACTTTTACACAAGGGTTCGCAATCAAGGATTTGTCACCTACTCCAAGTCGTACTCAACCGGGTTGATTACCAAACAAACCATCAGCTTTGATACTACTGTTAGGTCTTTTCGAAGAATGCTAACAACTAGGAGATTCTAAAATAATGTGACATAAGTCAACCATATAAGAGAATATGACACCACTTTCTACCAAAAACCTTAAGGCATTAGGTTATAAGTCTTTTTCACTTATTAGTTACTCAACTTTCCTATTTCTATCCAATACTCAATATGGGACTTCAAACTTATACTTAAATTCTCAACAGTTCATGCTTTCACTGTGGTTCCATAGTTTAGATGTAAAATTCTTTTAGAAACCGTGTTTTTCACTTTCTACTTTTTTCCTTGTTGTCATTATTTGCCCTTGTTGAAAGTCCCACATCGCCTACCTCATGTCATTTGGTATGGTTTAAATACATGTTAGGCTACTCCACATATTTCCGGTTATTGTCATGGGCCAAAAGTTGCCCTTTAGTTGGGTCAAAAGTACCATTTGCCTGGTCCGGCAGGCTTCGTTGGAGGGGGTGTGTTGAAAGTCCCACATCGCCTACCTCATGTCATTTGGTATGGTTTAAATACATGTTAGGCTACTCCACATATTGCCAATTGGTTTTATGTTGGAACCTTAACAGCCCTCAACATTTTTCCAACTATTACTATTCAACACCAATTTTTTCTAGCAATTATTTTTCATTTCCAAAAATTCTACCAGCACCATCAATGTTTTCCAACAGGTCACTGATAACTTTTTTTGACAAGTTTTGTCCACTAATGACATTTTTGGATATTGTTTGTTGTTGATATTTTTCCGGCATAGACATTTTGTCGTCAATGTTTATCTAATAGGTATTGTTTCCGCTCAACATTTATCGACATGTAATCATCGCCGATATTTTCCCAACCGGTATTGTTTACCATCAACGTTTTCTTGGTGGCCACTATTCACTGCCAATGTTTTTCTTATGGTTACTATTCACAACCGATGTCTGTAACAAGCTTGTCTTATGTGATATATGCTTCAACTTAGGGGACGTCTTAGAGATATGAATTGATTACATTAAATAAGGACATATGATATGATTTGACATGGAAATATTTTACCAAATAATACCCATTATTAGAAATTTGTCTTGTAACATTTTATCATATGTCTTCTTCATTAGAAGTAAGAATACCTATGTGTACATAACATATGGAACTCATTATATTCCTTCTCTGTTTCTTTTTTCTCAACATGGTACCAGAGAGTATCATCCTCCATGATTGGTTTTCACAAATCCTTTCAACAATAACACAATGAAAAAAGTAATATTTTTTATATTATACTCTAATCACAACTAGGAAATGATAAAGTAAATTTACTATAATGAAAAAAAAAAAAAAAAAAGGTGAGTGCTTACTTAAAAAGGCAAAAATTGGTATACAATAAAGTAAATTGTCCCTTTGTCCACAATTCACAAGTGTATCAATTAGTGGGTGCTTCTAAATATAAAGTCATTAATATTCTGTTCATGAAGGAATCAACCTAGGCATAAATCACTCAAGAACAACAAATTACCCATGTCTTACCAGGTTTAATATCCCTGTGTGTGATGTTGCGATCATGACAGGACTTGAGAGCCAATAACTAAAGATTAAAAAACGAAGATTGTCAAGAATATACAGCACAAGGAAAAATCAAGAATAAATTCTGGCAAATTTCATATGGCCACATCCATAACAACTTTTTCCCTTCTTTTGTTGACAACTATGAAATTTATTTAACTAAAGTGAAAATGAAGATATTAAAATACTGAATCTCAAAATCTCTCTTATAGTTTAATATACTTTAAATAATGAATGCATTCCATGCGATCAAGGTTTGCGATTGAGGAACATAAGAAAAAAAAATGGGACAAACGGAAAAGTCTATACTTCTTAATAAACCCTAGTTGCATGCTAACCCATTTCTAATATTAAACACAAATTGGGCACCCAAGAATTTATGCAGAGGTTTATAATACACCACAAACAAAAAGAAAGAAAAAACTAAGATATCTCGGGATCTAAAAAGAAAAAAGTACACTTAGTTAAAAGTAATGTATTTTTATTTTTTCCAGGACAAAAAAAATGCAGTATCTAATATGTGCATAGATTTCAAAGTATATTTTAAATATCAAGGAACTATAAAGGCAATCAGGTCAATCCCTCATAGAACCTACACTTAAGACATACCAGCTGCCAGATAAGGTTGCGCATTTCCGCTTGCCCTTCTTCTGTTGTTTTCAACCAATGCCACCAATTTGATGGACGCAGTATCTTAGCATGTTTAGCTTGCTCAAGTCTTTCTTGCTCAGCAGTACCATATGTGTCTTCCCCGGTATATAGAAGTTTCGACAATGACACACCCTCATAACTAAATACAAGCCAAATTTCATTTGCAAGAGACTCAAAAGACTCCACATATCTTGCAATATGGTTCAAACCTTCTTCATATGGGGTTCTTCGTAGCCAAAATTTGTTTGGAAATGATTTCTCAGGACCAAACTGTGATGATGTTTCCAAGACACAGTTTGATTTTCCAGCTGATAGTGAATCTTCAAAGCATGTCGAGGCATTTAAGAAAATTTCTCCAAAGTACTTCTCTCTCAGCCCACTTAAGTAAACAGCTGACCCCCTCTCCACCTGTTTAGCGCATTTAAGAATTATTTCTGCTACATGCTTACTAATGCATACTAAAATATACAGTACCTCCTGAAAACAGAGCTTCCTCTTAAAATCTAAGCAGAATGTTTAACAACAGCAAGTCTAAGAATGCATCTTTTAATTACTTTTCGTGCACGAAAGGAAAAAAAAAAAAGCCAAAAACAACAAGAATTTGAAGAAGTTCTGTTTGCAATAAGGGCAGGTATGAGACAAGGGGATAAGTGGGGAGCATTAGATTTGTACTAATGAGAGGACAAAATAAAATAGAGACTAAAGGACTGGACAGGCAATTTATTATAATTTCAGGCTTTCAACTATATTTAGATTACAATTACTGAAGTTAATTACTATAGAAGGTTCAGTTTTCAATTTTTGGTGATAACTATGTAAGAGTAAAATAAAACATCTAATTTAAATTATATTTACTAAGAAAAAATGGCACCACGTAAAAAAAAAAAAAAACAAGGGACGGAGGACTGAGCTACTCCAAGATCCAAAGCATTCAGCAGAAGCTGAAGAGGAACAAATGACAAACCAGTAAAAGAATAAAACAAGCAGCTTCCTCTCAGGTCAAGTAATCTACATAAAGACAGAATTTTGAGAAATGTTTATCTGTCTTTTAGAAATGTAGGGGAATGTATGTTGTATAAATAAGGCATCAGACTTATTGCTCATTGATTATGTTGATGCACAAAAAGGAAAATATAGGTATAAACTCCTTCTCACAATGCATAAATACCTAGCACATCCTAATGCACTGAAGCCATTAAAAGCAATTCTACATCACTAAAACTTATTACCATTATACGTTTCAAAATGTACAGGGTGTAATTAGAAGCACCATCCTGACAATCAGAGGCAGTTGAGCTGCTGGTTGTATTTGTGACATCCTTGCTCATTTTTGCAGCATTACTATGTTGATTACAATTCCAATGAAAAGCCAACCATACTTCACCAAATGATCCACGTCCAAAACTCTTCTTCAACTCATACCTATACACAGAAACACAATTTGGCTTAACTGTAGGGCTAAAGTAAAACATTGTCAGGCATCAATTCATTAGAACACAATAAATGAATCATAATGGCTATCATGATAGTATACACTGAGAAAATGTGAGAGGAAAGTCAATAACATTAAATGCTCCTCTTTCCAACACTGACCATCCATATAAGATGAATCCCAAAATTTTATAAATTAAAAAAGTGAATTTTTCACAAGATATTAATCCTCTTATATTTTACTAGGAACAATATTGTCCTCTAGACTGATGAATGTATAGGAATTCAAAGCAGATAAACTTACTTCAAATCCGGCATTGAATAATCTGTAGACCCATTACTGGAATCACTATCATGTAAAGGAATTGATTCAAGAAGACCAATGAAACTGGCAAAGCCTTCAGGATTTATGCATTGGTCTTCAGTTTCATTAACAGTTGGACCAAGGTGAAAGCAAAAGTTTTGGTTATTATCGTATAAATTTACAGGACCACCTGAAGCTGAAAAGGGACCAACCAAAGTATTTCATTGTCAACAGATAAACTAAAATTTAACTACAAACAAATGCGACATAATGGCAAAATATTAAGAACCTCTAAAGTCACCAAGATTATGCAATTAGATAATAGACATCTTTGCTTACTGGCATGTTGATGAAGGGCATCTGGTAAAGGCGGAGGTAGTTCATACAAATAGTCATCCCAGTCAATTTTTTTGGCAATCTGCTTGGAGTCCTCTGGTTCATCAAGATTTTCAGATAAATAAAAACAGCCAACATCGCCATCTTTTACTTGAACCTATCATAAAATAAAAGCCAAAGGCATTCAATTATTTGGATTGATCTCCACCAGATGGTTTTTGATTTGAAGTGAAGTAATGATTTATGTTGGAAAGCTGCCTTAATTATGGTCAACCTTAGTCACCTTAATTGCAACCACTTTAGTATCAAGGGTGATCCACATTGACTAAAGACACAGCTTAAATAGAGCTTAGAAAGCTTGTAAAGTGATCACCTAACAAACTAGTGTTGAGGGGTTTACTTTGGTTTTAAACCCAAATTTTAAAAGATATTAGAACCTATCATAGATCCATTCAGGCTACTTGAATAATCGTGCTCCAAGCTAGTAGCCTTAGACATGAAGGCTATGAAGCATCAATAATTCAATTTGATTCAACCATCTATGACACATATGTGTCTCTAATACTCTAGGATACTTTACCAATGCTTAAAGTATCCAAATCTACAAAGCACCAATACTGTTAAGGTTCCAACATAAAACCAATTGGCAATATGTGGAGTAGCCTAACATGTATTTAAATCATACCAAATGATATGAGGTAGGCGATGTGGGACTTTCAACACACCCCCTCCAACGAAGCCTGCCGGACCAGGCAAAGGGTACTTTTGACCCAACTAAAGGGCAACTTTTGGCCCATGACAATAACCGGAAAGATATTAGGCTTTGGCTCTGATACCATGTTAAGGTTCCAACATAAATATATGTGGAGTAGCCTAACATGTATTTAAACCATACCAAATGATATGAGGTAGGCGATGTGGGACTTTCAACAAATACTTATATTTTTTTTCACATATCTAATATTGATACTTTAAGTACTTCACTGATAGGTATTGGTGACATGTCCAAGCTTTTAAAACATTATTATCCAATAAAACTTCAAAAAACATATCAGTATGTGTAATATAGAAACATCAAAAAAATTGTTTGGTCATAAACCAACACAAGAAATTGTTTTAAATGAATTATTTTTAAAATGTATTGAGATCAACAGTTTTCCTATATGCAAAGAATTGAATGTAATTTATGATGACAATGATTGAGGATTTTTTATTTCGACAATTGTCTAAGAAATGTGATTTTAATTTGGATTTGAATAATTGCAATCATATATTTATTATGTTTTATGAATTATTATACATTTATAAATATCTATCTTACACGTATGGTATTCTATTATTTTTAGAATAAGTTTGTTAACATATCAAATATGCATCGTATTATATCCATGCATCATTGCATGAAGGGAAGTTTTCAAAATTGTGTACACCCGTAAACCATCTTTATATTCCACATCAACTATAGATAAGACATAAATAGAGTGTTCTCACATAGTCAACTAGCTTTTATGGAGTTGACTTAGATCTTATAACCAAATTCTTGATCTTTATTAAGATACTAGAAAATATGGATTACATAGAACATTTTAACATTACAAACGATTCTGTGAGATTAAGATAGATCTTAAGCCCAAATTCTAAGAACTCATTTAAGATACTAAAAATAATATACCTAGAAGGATGCAAACTTACTGTTGAGATGCATTTAAATTCTAATGATCAAACTTAAAAAGTGAAAAAAAAAATGGTAATGTATTTAACTAGTATCAGCCTTGTGTGACTGTGTGTGAGATAATACAGAATATCTCACCAAGAAGAGAGTGGGAAATTGATAAATCAACTTATGTCCATAAAAACTATAGTCTCATAAAAGGAAACAAATCTCATTTCCTACTCACCCCAAGCAAAATACTGTTAGTTAACCCAAAAAGTATTACACGTCCCTTTTAGTAGCATTTTTTCTCGTCTGTTTGCACTACCACATTGGAGGATCAAATGGTGAGTATGCAAGAGGATAGACGGAGTCCCTCAAAGAAAAAAATATGGCTAAAATTCCAAGAAATCCAGTAAAGCAGGTTGGTCCTCTTCATTCAATTCAAAACATATAAACATTCTCAAGGCATCTTTAACACTGAGTTTCCTCCTCCAACAACAATATCATAGAATCACAGCTCCACAACTGACTATCATATTTTAAGAAACACAGCACAATTATTATACAAATTGAGAAAATGCTATCCGTCTTTTCAGAAGAATCAATTAATTCCTTAATTCCATTAGGACCCACAATTTATGAGAAAACCAAACAAAATATGAAAGAAATTGACAATCATAGGTTCCATGGCTTTTGGCCATACCAATATTCGCTTAAAATTGGTATCTACCAGATGGGGGTGCTCCAAGTGCATAAGATTAGTAGCAATGTCATTAGCTGAGAAAGATAAAACATAATAAATTAGTTGAAGCTACATACAGGAATAAGTAAATTAAATAACTTCACCAATGGATTAAGTTATCAGCAGAAACATATCATGCAATTGCAAATTTGATTTTCTACACTGAAATTATTTATGACACAAACATTGTTGCATACAGATGCATATCATATGTATTAACTATAAAAAGGTTAACTTTGGAAGCCTTTATCTACTATTTAGAGCAAGCAAATATAGCAAATTTGATTTTCCACAATGCTTGTCAGAGGAAACACTGTTTAGCAGCTTGATAATGGCATATTGATTTTTTCTGATTTGACTCATGGCTCACAGATTCCATAGCTAATATCATGAGTATTAACAGAAGCATACATAATGTGCTAAAAGCAAAGGTCTCATATTTCATTTTAGACAAATCATGGCAAATTACTTCATCCATTCCACAAGATACGAAGCAACAGATATGTCAAGTTACTATTCCTCTGTTAGATAGGAAGGATACTATTAGATGGAAGCATACTAAAAATGGAGATACCATCAGGGATGCTTAACTTCACATGCATATAAGTAAATCAAATCTATCTAGAAGAAACAGAATCTGGAACAAAAGTCATCCCCCCTTTTAAAACCTTTATTCTATTTGCATCATAAGTTACCTACATATGATCTTCATAGAAAATTTGACCTTAATATGATGATATCATTTTGTCGTCGGATACAGACCTTAATACAAATGGACATAATGGGCCATTGATCCAAGAAGCTAATACGCGTAGATGGGGAAGGGTGTGAGGAAGAAGCCTAGAAAGGGTGATGTGGCAGAATAAGGGTAAGAGGTTAGTTAGAGGAGAGAGAAAAAGGGTGTTATTTCTATTGTATTTAGAATTAGGTGTGGGGACCTTTTTTGGACATTTCGGTTGAGTTGATTGTTTGGGTAAAGGGTCTTTGTGGGTGCTCTAAAGGAGCTTGTGCTCTGGACAATAGGATTTCTCTCCCTTCAGTATTTCTTGCTTTCAATCAAATAAAATCATTTCATTATTCATTACATTAATTGTGTATTCGCTAATTTACCGTTTTAAGTCCTATTAATTGGTCTAAGCTATTGGATAAGAACCTGGCTAGAGAATGTCTCCCAGGAAGAACTACACACAAGAGGACCAAAAACATCTGATTCAAAAGATACGAGAGTGGAATATGTGATTGGAGAACTTACCAAATTGAAAGCGGTGGTTGAAGAACTAGTGAATCAATATCTGCAGAACCAAAAGCAGATTGAGAAGATGCGGCTAGAAGCAGCGAACAATCAATTGAAGCTGCTTCATCACATGTCAAGTCTTAAAGAAAAATAGTGAAGAAGAGAAGGAGAGGAGTCAATTGGGTTGAAGAAATAAGGAACAAAGGGCCATAAATATGGAGGAACACCAAATATGAAACCACTCGAGGAGGATGCATTGAACAAATTTTGCAATCCATGAAGAAAATAGAGCTCCCTTCATTCTATGGCGAAGATCCTGTAGGTTGGATTGCTTGCACAGAAATTTATTCTAATGTCCAAGAGACGAATGAGGCGGTACAGGTAAATCTTACTCAAGTTTGTATGGAAGGACGAACAATACACTTCTTCCACTCTCTATTGAACAATTACAAAGATCTTACTTGGGAAGATCTAAAACAAGAAATGTTGGAGAGATATGGAGGTAGAGGTGAGGGAAGCATATACAATCAATTGGCGTCGTTACATCAGGGAGCATGGACAACTACATTCGAAATTGAGTGTTTGATCGCTCAAGTACCAAAGATGCACGAGGATCAGTATTCTTCTTATTTCACATTTCACCCAAGGACTCAAGGATGACATTAGAGCAAGAATGAGGAGTGTCCACATGGTGAGTCCTCTGACATATGAAGTAGAATGATGAGTGTGGCTAGGGTCATAGACGCTAAATTATCTGGGCGTAGCATATTGTTGGAGGGAAAGGGAGATACACATGGAGATGGGAAAACCCAATTGGGGAATCAACCCGCCTCACGTCAAAATAGTGGAAGTTGGGGGGGTGGGGGGGGGCTGGAAATGGGTCAGACCCAATTGCAAAAGTAGAAGGGGATGATAAAAGCAAAGAAGGACCAAGAAATAGAGGTGTAAACCATCTCTCTTATCAAGACCTCTTGGATAGGAAACAACGTGGGTTGTGTTACAAGTGTGGGAGGTCTTATGGGCCGCTCCACCAATGCCCGGTTAAACATCTTCGAGTTATTTTGATGGATAATGATTTACGGGTCAAATGTGAAGATGACGAGACACATACAAGAGAGAGTTTCGATGAAGAAGAGATAAACTCAGATGAAGCTTGCATTGCCATCAACTTGTAGGTGATGATGAAAAGTGAGGATCCTCCAAGGACGATGAAGATACGAGGAAAGGTAGATAAGTTCCATTGTTGATTCTAGTCGATAGCGGTGTCTCTCATAATTTTGTTTCTCGCAAATTGGTTGACGCCCTAGGGTGGAATTGGGAAAAAACACAATGCATGAAGATTTTAATGGGAGGTGGTCATCGAATAAAGACACAAGAAGTATGTAGAGGAATCAAAGTGGAGTTTGATGAAGGGCAATTCTTGATTGATGCATTTCCATTTGATCTTGAAGATATGGACATGATTCTCAGTATGGCGTGCCTTACTACTTTAGGAGAAATGGTGGTGGACAGGAAGAAACAAGGGATGTAAGTAACTACTCCTTAGGGAACTAAAATGTTGAGAGGAGTTCCTCGGGAAGAGTCATGATAATGTCAGTTTTTGGGTTTTTGAAGAAAGCAAAAAGCAAGAGGAACATGGACTCACATTAGAGCAAAAGCGGGCATTAGGGACTCACATCCGAATAAGTTCCCTATTTCAATGATTGAAGAACTACTGGATGAGCTGCATGGGTCTCGTTATTTTTCAAAGTTGGATCTTGATTCTGGGTACCATCAAGTGAGGATGAGGGAGGAAGATATTCCGAAGACCACGTTTAGAACCCAAAAAGGACACTACGAATATCTCGTAATGCCATTTGGGCTTATGAATGCCCCATCTACCTTCCAAGCCTTGATGAATGAGGTATTTCGTGCTTTCCAAAGAAAAGGAGTATTAGTTTTTTTGGATGATATACTCATTTATAGTAAGCGATGGGAAGAACATATATGGCCATTGATGAAGGTGTTGGAGATTTTGAGGGAAAATATGTTGTTTACAAATAAGGAAAAGTGTACTTTTGGCCAAGAGAACATAGAGTACCTTGGCCAGATTATTTCTATTCAGAGTGTAATTATTGTTGCAGGTAGCATCAATTATCCCGTGACAGAGACTAAGTGGACCGGGCCACAATCGAATCGTGGCGCTTGGGTTATTACTCTTAAGTAAAAAGAGTTGCGCTCTGACTAATAGCTATAACTTTTGGCCAAGTGGTAAGCGTTCGATCCTAACAGTTATTGACCCATCTAAGATAAAAAGTGTCATGGAGTGGCTTGTGCCAAAAAACGTAAGGGAGTGCATGGGTTCTTGGGCCTAATGGGGTATTATCGTAAATTCATCAAAGGCTACGGTAAAATAACAAAGCCTCTCACTGAATTAACCAAGAAAGAGGTTAGTTAGAGAAGAGAAAAAGGGGGAATTTCCATTGTATTTAGAATCAGGTGTGGGGACCTTTTTGGGGCATTTCGATTGAGTTGATTGTTTTGGGTGAAGGGTCTTTCTGGGCTCTAAAGGAGCTTGTGCTCTGGACAGTAGGATTTCTCCCCCTGCTGTATTTCTTGCTTTCAATTAAATAGAATCATTTCGTTGTTCATTACATTTATTGTGTATGCTCTATTTTACGGTGTTGAGTTCCTATTATTGTCATTGCTATAATGCCTATGAAACTGATAATCATTTGTTTCTCAGCTGTCCATTTGCAGCTAGGTTGTAGAATTGGCTTCAAAGCATTACTAATCTGAGGCTGGACACCACTAGCATAATGATAATTATGAAGCCTAATGGAAATTGAAGTAATTTGGTGCTGACAATGATGCTTTTAGCTATTACACATATTGTAGCAGAGATTTGGCAAAGTAGGAATAGAATTAAGTTTGAGGGACAGAAAATTCAGTACCAGCATATCAAAAACAGAATCTTCTCTACAGTGAATCTTTCTGCTCCTCTGGCAACAAGTAATATACATTCTACTATTGCAAAACTATTAAGGCATTTTAGGTTGTTTGTAGGCCAAGAAAATCAGATAAAATTATTTAAGTGGATTGGAATCCTCCTGAAACAAGATGGACCAAATGTAATATGGATGGAACATACTCAAATAATGGACATAAATCAACATGTGGTGGCATCTTTAGGAATTTGGTACATGGGTAAATTTGTCAGTTTGACAAAAAAACATTTTTAGCAGGCGGCCTCATCTGTTTTATTTCCTTTCATTTCAAATATTTTTCTCCAAACAAATGGTGGAAAATGCACTTTTCCTTCATACTTCTCTCACCCAAACTATTCATTAAATGCTAAACCCACATAATATACCTGAGCTTTTGAAGGCCGTTTCCTGAAAACCAAATAATGGGAAACCTGCATCCCTCTTTCCAATATAACTTCCCCCAAGCAAGTTTCCTGAAGATTTGACAGATTTCAGAGGAATGACAACAGCTGCTACATTGTCCATGCTGCCCTTTTTGAGGGCATTTTTAACTAATAAATCAGCTAACGAATAGGAAGAAGGGGTACACTCTGATCTCATGTTACTGAAACGGCTTACTTCCCACAGCAAATCACAAACATCCTGCAAGCTCATCTTCTCAAATACACCATCTGATGCTACCACCAAATAGCTATCATTAGCTGTCAGAGGCTGCCAATCAGTCACTTCTGGTGCAGATATAACACCATAACTGCTGACAATTCATTGTCCGAAATGCATTAGTATTTCAACATAAAAATTTTAGATTATGAAAAGCCCAGACCTCAACAAAAACCTTTGACTTGAAGCCTTTAAACAGCATAAGCCTATAAACAGCATATGCCCAGCCCTCCTTGCTGAAATTTGATTTTAAATTTTTAATACAAGAAAAAGAGCTGGTTTATATTCACAATATGAAATGAACTATATTTACAATTTCAACAAGTTTTATGTTGTCTGTGGATGGCCTAGTAACATGGTCCTCCTCCTTCACCTATGCTTCAGACTGACCCGAAACCATAGGCCAAGTTATTTTCCTCAAAAAGAACATCGAACCAAAATCATTTGCACATGATACAAAGCTGCTGGCTATAATATACACATGCTTTAGCTATAAGCATGAGCTATATGAAGTGAATTTGCACACTGAACCTACCTTTTAAAGGGTACATCACCAATAGCCCGTGTAACAGCCAGCTGACCATTTATGCGAGGCAGACCATCCCAATTTTGAACTTGACCACCAGCTGTTTCCACCCGAATTCTTTCATCATCTCTGTCTGGATGATGATCACTGGTCAATTCCTTTACTGCAAAATGAGTGAGACCATGCGACGAAGCCAATTTGTACTTTTCACGATCCCACATGGAAACAGAACTGTCGCGCTCTTTCTGCCTATATAGCTTTAATAATAAGTCTACAAATCACAAGGAACTATATTTAAAACCCTTTTAATCATATTTCATCAAATGAAAAGTAGGATTGTTGCCCTGTCATAACCAAAAAGCTATATAGAAAAATATATAATTTTCAATTATGCCATTATAAAATTGTCCTTTAAAAATTGAAAGCTTAATTACATTTCATAATCTTTCTCACCTTTAGCCTCTCTAGGAGTCTGAAAATTTTCAGAGCACAAGATGGCCTTAGAGTCTCCAATATTGGCAACCAAAATTTTATCATCCGCTATCAAAACAATGGTAGCTGTCGATCCTGAGTGAAGATTATTTCTAGAGGCTTCCTTCATGTTCAAGTTCAAGATGTTAATATAACAAGTACAAAATCACATAAAGTTTTACAAAACTGAGCAGAAATCAAACTTACCTCAGAAAAATTAGCATCAATGTCATGGACTGCTCTCAACAACGCTTCCTTCAAAATTTCCAAGTGAAAAGAATCATCAAAATTTGGAGAAAAGGTGTTCTGAAACCTGGAAAATTGTTCATAGTTGAGATTGGCATACAAATGATAGAAACAAAAGCTATGAAATTTTTTAAATTGTATTAGGAACACATAGTTCACGTACTTGTAAACCAAGGAAGCAACTCTAAACCAAAATCAAATGTTAGAAGTGACTACTACTGACTAGTGACTAAATTAGACATTCAGAATTATCAACAAAAACACTGCTATTTCAGTTTTAATTACTTGAAAACGATTGATATAAGAAAAAATTAAAACAAGATACATAAAACACCTTTCAAAATGCAGTTCATGCCATTCCAAACCTAGAATCTCCTTCCATCTATGCAGTACGTTTACATGATCATGGTCTCTCTTGTGAAGCAATGTTTCTGATGACGTCTTCGAAATAACAGAAAAGGCGGCATCGAGAAGAAAATACGTATGCAGAACAAAATACTCCAGCAAAAGCTTCGACGCCATTTCACTAGCTTCTGCACCATTATGACCGTCGAAAACGGCCACAACGCCGACCGGAACCTCCTTGATCCCGTTCGCACCTGTTCCGCGATAAATTAAAATTACAACAAATGCTACAGAGAAGCTTCTGGAACAGAAACCAGAAGAGAGAGAGAGAGAGAGGGAGATTAGGATAGCTTACCGGGGAAGGGAATGCGAACATCGAGGACACAGAGAGCGCGATCCTCTTGCGACTTTCTGCGGCCTTGGAGCATCGCAATCTGGCATCGTGCGGTGGTTTGGGGAGGAGAATCGTAGTCGGAGAGCTTCCAGCGGGGGCATTTTGGGGACTGGAACACCGCCGGAGCACCACCGTTCTTGTAGATCGTCAAGCACGTGGACGACTCAGCGTGAACGAAAGGGATTGTAGCGCAAAGCAGAAACCCTAACGCAAATGATAAATACTGTGACGGAATCTTCGGAATCATATCTGGTGGTGATTGAGGTGATAAACTGAGAGGTGCCAAGTGATGTTCATTGCAGTGCAGTGTTTCCAAACAATTTTTTCTTCTTTCCATTTAAATTCTGCTGTTACATTCAGTTTGTCCGAAACCGCCACTCTTAACTACCAGTTTAGTTCCTCTTCATTTTTTCTTTTAAATCAATTTTCATCCTCATCTTATACACATCCACAATTTTTGAATAAAGTAACATCATATCATAAGCCTTAGACAGAATGGAGGTTAAGAGTAACTTAAATAGAGAATTTAAAAATAAATAATATCTATGTAAGAATATTAGTTTTCATTGTGAAATTAAGAGGAGTCTTTTTTCATTTATATATATCTAACAACTGATTTTGACCATTAATTTTGAGTTTAAAGATTCATAGTTCATATGATCTTTAAAATCATAAATATTAATATAAATTATAAAACTTTAAAAATTTATAATCTATTTCATCTTTTAAAAAAATTATATATATATATATACCTTTATTACTCAACTAAAAAATTTATAGATTTATAAGTTTTACATTAGTTTTTTAAGTTACAAAACTTTAAAATATCTATAGGTTCTCTCTTTCTTAAAAAAAATCCGTCATTATATATACCCTTAATGTTCTAATTGAAAAGTTCGTACCCTCTTAAATTTTACGTCACGTTTTTTATATTGTAATTGATTGTATTTTAATATAATTAATTATGTGTCATAATATAATCATTAATTAGTACTTGATTGAAAAATCGAAAAACTTATATGCAATGTTACGTTATTTTTTATTTTTTTTTACATTGTAATCAATTGTATTTTAATATAATTAATTATATGTCATAATATAATCATTATTTTGATTGCATTGTTTTTCTTTTATATTAGACAATTTTTTTTCTTTTGCATAATATAATATTTTTCCAACCATGTTTTCTTTCGAGTAAGAAGTACTTGAAAATTTTACCAACTAAGATGATTACATGTGAGTGAATATGTTACAAGAATATGGAGAGACGTTACCTCTATTACACTGTTTTTAAGGTGTTTCTTCATCAATTGAGATGTAATATATAACATGTGAGATTTCTTTATAAACTAGTGTTAATTAAAAAAAAACCCTTACAAATTCATAACTATATTTTCTCGTAAACAATAACTAAATTACGAAGCTTACACTTACACATCCAAAATAGTTATTTATTTTAATTTAATATAAAAATAATAAGATAAAATATGATTTTGTATTCTTTAAACATATTGTAATTTATTTGTTTATAAAATTAACATATTTTAGCCTTTATATTTATTTAAAATGAATTGTTTTATTACTTTAGGTCTCATTAAAAAAATAGACATACACGGACTTCTTCTTTTTCTTCTTATTATTATATAATCCACATCATATTATTCATAGAAATATTTTAAATTTATAATTTTTAAATGAAAAAAAAATGTTAAGAAATGATTAAAACATAGGTTTCTATATTTGGCACTATCCATATAAAAGAATCACTCCTGAAAATTTATTTATTTCTTTCCATTTTTATTTCAGAAACTTATTCACAAAAAATATTTACAATTTTTTAATAAAAAATTATTCAAAAAATAACTGTCAATTTTTATGAAAAATATATTTATGAGAAAAAGTTAGAATTTTTTTTTCAAACTATTATTTATAAAAAATTTCTACGGCAAATATACAAAAGAAATTTGCAAGAAAATTAGTAAAAAAATTTAAATTAATTTATTGAAATTTTTTTATGAATATAAACTTACAAGAAATGTTTGATAATATTTAAATTAATGATAGAAAATTTAAAAAAAAATTTACAAATTTATATTTTGAAGAAAAATGAAATAAAATATTTAAATTTATTATTTTAAATAATTAAAACAATTTATTTAATAAAATATGTTTAAAAAAATAAAAAACATACAATAAAACAACACAATAAAAATTTAGTAGTAAATTATTTGCCAATTTTGAGATACTATTTTTATCAACCCATAGATGCATTCAAAACCACACGGGAAGCACGCCACTGAGTTGAGCTCCGTTAAAAAAAAAAAAAAAAAAAAAAAAAAAAAAAAGAGAAGGTTATAGGGTTTCTCTGCAGTAAACCAACAACATCTTCAACAAGCAATAAACCAACCCGAATTACTTTCCTTTGTGACGAACCAAAAGCAGGTACAAATACCTACAATACTCAAAATATTTTGAAAACTTTTATACTATTTTGTCCGATCTAACCTCCATCTTTGTTATGTTTGCTAAATAATTTTGGAAGAAGAGTGAGCGAGATGAAAACAATGAGGGGAGATGAATGACAATGTGAAACATGTTCCTACATTCCAAAGAGATAATTTTGATGATGATTCAAGTCAACAACATTCAAGACTCAAGCAAGCCAAAGATATGATTATTCAAATCATTCAAGATTCAAGCAAGTCTAAGATGATTCCTAAAGACTAGATAGAGCCTTAGAATACTAAATATGGAGGTACAAGTTGATGAAGTGGTATTATGCATAAACCTCCGAAGCACAAGTGCGATAAAATTTCGTAACATGACATTTTTCACTGTCATAATCGATTATGATGCATCATAAATGGAAAAATGATTTTCTCTTTGTCATAATCAATTATAGTGGTAACATAATCGATTATGGAAGTTCAAATTTAAAAACTATAAATCTGTTTTGAAGAATAAATATTTTTAAATACATCCTAATTTTTCTCTACGAAATTATTAATGACCAACTACTATTTTCTGATGTTATTTTCCTATTTAAATGAGTTTTGATGAAAAATAAAAAACACACAATTACAAAATTCGAAAATTTAATTTACATTCAATCAGTTTTGAGAAAAAAATTTTGACCAAGGCAACAAAGTACTTTTAAGTTTTCTGAGAAAACTTTTTCATATTGCCTTTTGCGTTTTCACTTCAATCACACTGTGTTATTGAAGTTATCATTCTACAGACTTTTACAATTTGTTGTCTCCGTTACCCAGGTGTAACTGTTCTTATTTTATTTCCTTCATCCATTTTAGGGTTTAGGAAGTTGATGTTAAATTGCTTGTTTATGGTTTAAGTGGTTGTTGTTAAATCCTCGTTTTAGGGTTTAGGTGGTTATACTGTTTCTTGAGCAATGTGTTTTTGTTTGGAGTTTCTACTATCATCCCTGTGATTTGTTCAAGGAGGTATTTTCATCCTTTGATTTGTTCAGAGGAGGTGTTCATCCTTAGTGGGATTCTAAGGAGGTGTTTTCATCCCTTTGATTTGTTCGGGGAGGTGTTCATCCCTAGTGTGATTTTAGGGAGATGTTCATCCTTTGTGTGTTGGTTGCAAAGGAGGTGTTTTTCATCCTTTAATTTGTTCAGAGGAGGTGTTCATCCCTAGTGGGATTCTAGGGAGGTGTTCATCCTTAGTGGGAAACTAAGGAAGTGATTGTCTTTTTAATTAATTTACTCTTTACTGGTTCCTCTACTGAGGTGATTGAAATTTATAAACTGAAGTTTAAAGATAGTGAATTGGGGTTACTCTTGTGTTAGAGGTGACTGGGAACTAGATGTAGGGTTGGCTATACCCGAACCAGTACAAATTACTGTGTGCTCTTCTTTTCCCTATATCTTCGCTTTTATTTTTCCCTATACCTTTCTGATTATATTGCTTCCGCTTTATTTGATTTCAATCTGATAATTAAAGTTGAATTAATAAATTCTTGGACATCTAAAATAAATATTTAATTTGACATCTATTTTAATTTGTGCATCTATTCATCCCCCCTCTAGATGTCATTTGTCTAACAAGTGGTATCAGAGCTTGATTTGAAAAGATATTTCTACACGATCTGTCAAGATGTCTATGCAGAATCAAGTTTACAGGGAATGAGTCTCAATAAACAGACCACTATTATTTGAAGGAGAAAACTATCAGTTTTGGAAGGCGAGAATGGAAATATTTTTACAAACACTAGATTACGGTGTTTGGGATGTTGTACTTATTAGATATTGTTTAGATATTGTTAAGATATTTTTAACCACAATATCAAACATTATCTTCTGTTTATTTTGTTTACTTTCGGTTACTCTTTTAGTTGTACCTCTCCCTGTTATAAATAGATTACCCTATGTGTGGTTTATACACAAGGGAGATTAATCTCAAAACCGTATTTCCTCTATATTCAACATGGTATCTAGAGTTTAAGGTTATTTTGAAATTTTTTCGCCATTATCCACTGCTAAAGTCGCCACCGCCGCTGCTACCGGTTAAACTAATCTTCCACATCAGAAAAGAGTTATCTTTGTTACTTGATATTATTTGGTAGTGTGAAAGTGCATGTCTAGGAAGATTCTGACAAGGAAAGACTTGGTATTTAAGTGTGTCCATTAGTGACCCACCTCTCTTTCCTGGGAACTTACCTGGTGTACTGGTTCACGCTACTATCACTACCGCCGCTGCCGGAGCAGTCTCCGGAGCCATCGTCGGAGTTTCATTTTTGACCGGTGACATACGGTTTTATTTGTTTCTATAAGGTGATCACCATGTCGTTGAGATCACCACTATCGGAGTTGGTCGTCTGTTGTCTCCTATGTTGTTTAGTCTCGACAGACTTGTTTTGGTCTTCTCGTTTTGGATCTGTGCTTCGTGAGTTGATTGGATTACTTTGGATTTTTTTTAGGGTTTGTTCTCCTGCCCTTCATGACTTCTTCCACTCCTTCTACTACTTCCAATTCTGTTAACGATTCTTCTGTGTTGACATCTCACCGTGATGACCGGACTCGCCCTCACAAACAGGGAAAAGGGCATCCTAAGTGTGAACATTGTGGCAAGCCAAGTCACAAGATTAACAAGTGTTATCCATTACATGGTCGTCTCCTCGATCTGCTGTAGTTGTTCAGACCAATCTTTCCTTACCTTTGTCTGTTGGGGATCCTCCTTCTTCTGTTACATCCGACACACTATGTTTTTCGTACACATAGATACATATTTTGCTAGTCTGACCTAGTCCTCTTCTCCTAGTCCTTGGGTTTTTTATTCAGGAGCCACTAATCATATTACTAGTAACAAATCTTTATT